CTCTAATTAATCTTGAGTCTACTTCATATTCATTAGTACTATCGTTACTCTTGTCATATGTTTTTTCCCGTTACCTTGCTTCATGTCCACGTAAACCTTTCTAGACATTTTTTATTTGATATCTTCATATATGTATTATACATCTTGCTTACCCCATAAGGCCATAACAAATATCTTTTTTTTTGCTAAATTGTAAACGTTATTAATGAAAATAAAAATTCAGGATTAAAAATTGTTGTTGGAACATATTAGTAAACCTATAAAACATGGTTTAGTGACCAAAAAAAAGAAGATAAAATACATTGAACGAAGAATCAACCCGTACACATTGTTGATAGAAAAACATTCAACCCATAACGAATATTAGGTTCAAACATTGTTGATGTATCTGATTTATAAAATTAGTGAAACTTTACAACAAAAAATTTTACAACCCACCTTAAGATTTGGTTCCGGCCTTCCGGGTATTCCATCAAAACTCCAACGCGATCTAAATATCGTGCAATCTTCATAAGTTTTCTTTTAAAAATATTTGGTAACCATTCCAACAAACCAAAATTGCGTATTAGTCACACATATAAAAATATACTCTTATATAAAAATTATTGTTTTAACACATTTCACACAAATTAATGAACATTTGAAATTTAGAAGTATACTAATATTCAATTTAACACCAACTAAAAGACTATAATTTAGGGTTAATTTGGTTACTAACCAAGAAAAAAATAAAACTAAATATCTAACTAATAAGACCCCTAAATCTAGTGGCTATAATTTAGGATTTTGGTTAGTAATGAAATTATGTTTTTTTCTTGGTTATATTTATAATTTTTCTATAATTAAAATTTTTCAAATTAAAGAAAAAGAAAAACTTTGGATAAGAAGTAAATTATAACTTTGGTTTGAGAAGTCACACTAAAAATGTAAAACTACATTGTTGTTGATTAAACAGTGGGATTCTGTTTGAGATATCACGTTTAGGAATCTCATCATATGGAGTTAAAAGATTAAAAATAATATTTACTATATAAATGTGATAGACCAATAATCATTTGATTTTTAGTTGGAAAATCCATGAATAATTTTCGTATATATTAATAAGTAATCTAATCTATACTTGTTAAAAATGTGTAATCTAATCATAATAATATTACTTATTACAAATGCGTAAAAGCGAGACCAATTGTTCATTCAATAGTTAAATATTAATTTGACTGTTAAATATGGATCCATTGTTTAGTGGAAAATCCAAAGAACATATATACTTTAAAATTAAATGAAAAATTGAAGACAACATTGAACCAAAAAAAATAAAAGACATCCTTTGCCGCACAACTTACGCCTTCTCAGGATCGATTTATAAGTACATACATTATTTTCACCAGAATCTCATCAAACACCAACTCAAACACATCTCTCTCTCTTTCTCGCCCTCCATATATAAAAAACGTCAAAAGACGAACTCGTCGAGTTCCTTATAACCGTTGTCTTCTCTAAATCAACAAAAACCCTAATCTCAATATGAACAGTTTCGAGCCGCAAAGTCAAGACTCTTTGAAAAGAAGGTTTCATCAAGACAAAACCACCACACAATCAACACATTTCATGTCCAAATCTATTTCAAACAACCCTAATAGCAACTCAACTTCCGGAGCCGCCGGGAGATTCCCAGGGTTTGGTCTCAACGTCGACGACGATCTAGTTTCATCTGTGGTTCCTCCGGTGACGGTCGTGCTCGAGGGACGTTCGATTTGCCAACGCATTAGCCTAGACAAGCATGAGAGTTATCAGAGTCTGGCTATGTCTCTGAGGCAAATGTTTGTCGATGTAGCTGATTCGACTTCGGAGACGGACAATCTTGATCTGTCCAACGCCATTCCTGGTCATCTTATTGCTTATGAAGACATGGAGAACGATCTTCTTCTCGCCGGCGATCTTAGTTGGAAGTAATATTCCTCTTTAATCCCTCAAGATTAATCTCTTCTTTTAG